TTTAAATCCCTGGTAACTCACAACTTGCTCTGTTGTGAGTTACTAGGGATTGCAGCTCTTTTTATAAGGTGAAATTTGTGTACTTATGGGGAAAAATCTCAGATTATCTGTTTGATGAGCTTGTTTAACTCTCGTGTCCAAAAAATGGATACGAGAGCAGGGTTTGCTCACAGACGGCTTGGTCTTGGCATTTGGGATCGAGTTCCTAAATACAGATTTTGATGTTTTAGGTGTCAAAACAGAAGTGGCTGATCTGGAGTGTTGTAAAGGTTTGCAGCACCGCCGAGGTGAGCAGCGGAACCCCGGCACCACCGAACCTCCCGGCAGGGCTGGAGCTCCCCGCCGGTGAGAGGACACCGCGGTCAGTGGAAACGAGAATTATTTTAGAGCGTAAAAGTCACACATCGCTCCTCCATCCCGCACCAGGAGCACAGCCCCAGCACCACCGGCTGAGCGTGAGGCTCTGGCACCCCCTGCGGGTGATGCGGCTGTCACACCGCGTGTCCCCGCGGCCGCTCCTGTCCCGGGCTCGCCGCCTGTGGATGCCCCTGGGCGAGTGCAGGGCCGGCCAGCAGCGCGTCCCGTCCTGTCCCGGCGCTTCCCGGCGCTCCGCCATCCCCGCGCGGGCCAGCGGCGCCTGAGGGAGAGCGGCCATGCCCCCGCCCCGGCCGCGCGCATGCGCAGAGCTGACCCGGCAAAATGGCGGAGCTGGAGGAGTAAGTGCGGCATAGAGGGAAAAATGGAGGGCATGCGGGATCCACCGTCATCCGCGGCCTGGGGGTGGCCACGGGGGCTGCCCGAGAGGGGTCGGGATGCGGGATGCGATCGGGATGTAACCTGGTTGTCCCGCCCGCAGGCCGAGGCGGCGGATCCCGCTGGTGCCGGAGAACTTGCTGAAGAAGAGGAAGGCGTACCTGGCCATCAAGGCCACCCAGGCCAAGCAGGCGCTGCTCAACAAACGCAAGGTACGGAGGGTCCCGGCAGAGCCTGGGCCTGCAGCCCCAGCTCGTCCTCCTCTGCAGGGAGTCACAGTTCCGTCCGAGTGGTCGGGCCCCTCAGAGAGGGGGTGTCCGAGCACCGCGGGTGGGCAAGGATCGTCTTCGGGGTTCCGAGGGGGGCTTGAGTTCCTCAACCTCTTCTCCGTGAGTCTCTGAGCCTTGTAAAGAGGACAGAATTGTACAGGTTATTACACCGAAACAAATCAGTGGAAGACTGAGTTGTTCCTGTTGGATCAGTGGTGCTCAGGTGTTTGCAGCCACATGTGGGAAACAGCAGCGCTACTGAGTTGTCTCTGCTGCCCTGGGATTTCGCTTACTGAAACCACCTTAGTGTTGAAACCCTGCATGGAAGCCATGCTTTTCTGAGGGTGCCTTTAGAGTTACTTCTCTGTTAGAGCAGCATAGGTCATGGTGAAGCCTTTTCTGTCTGAGGGGTCGCACATGTCCTAGTGCAGACACATCCTGTGCACATTGTGCCATTTCCAGACTGGCAGAGCACAGCAGACCTTTCTAATTCCCAATCTCAGGCCTGTTCTGATGTCCCCAGCTAATACAGTAGGTGTCTGTCTTAAAGCTTTCCCAGTGAATCTTGTGGGATTGTGTGCAAAACTCCTGCCATTTTTGTTTGATACCATGTTTACATTTTTAAGAGCATCAGTAACTTGCTGTATTTCCAAGGTGGGAGCATAAGCAATAATATTAAATAGCCACTCCTTAAGATTGTCATTGCAAAAAGAATCTTAGTGATGAGACTTATTAGGTCTGCCTGTTTTGAAAATTCAAATGAATTTCATGGGTGATGTGTGAGGTGAAATAGAACAGAAGACACACAACATTAAATTCTTTAAATTAAAGTGGCCTGCTCGTTTAACCAGTACAGCATCCTAAATAAAGCTGTGTAATGCTGTGCATTTTCAAGTCCTATTCATATAAGAAAACACTATAAGTGTTGGTGGATGTACTCATTCCTAAGCTAAAGGGAGACATTTAAACATCTGTTTAATTCTAAAAAGGAGCTTTCCATTTCCTAGTAACAATGAAAAGACTTTTTATCAGATGAGCCAGATGTTCTGTTTAAATCAGCAATATTTAATAGTTACTTGAATGTTTGAAGTTTTTCTTGCATGTGTGTCAGTATAGGAACTGACTTTAAATGCAGCTACTTTCTCTTGGAGGGTAATTTTGAGTCACACTGGGGTATTGCTGTAGCATCTGTTTCTGGCTTTTCCAGTCGTTGCTGAGCTGTGTGTGTAGCTATGCCTAGAAGTCTTCCCTGGTCTTTTCCCTAATTTATATTTTTCCTGGGGAAAAACTCTTTGTTCACTGTTCATAAATAACAGTTGTGTGTAAATTCATGCGTTGTCCCTCAGTTCTACCTCCCTTGGGCTTAGATAATTAGATTTATTTTCTTATTGCTTCCAAAGCTGTAAGGACATTGTTCACTACTTCTGCATTTCGTTTGGCCTTTGAGATGTAAACCTCACTTTGTTTTCCTTTTGTCTGCAGCAGCAGAAAGGGAAGCAGATCCAGTTCAGGCGCCTGGAGACGTTTGTTCGGGATTCATGGCGCAAACGCCGGGATGACACCCGCCTGAGGCGCATGGAGCAGAGGCCTGGGCCGGCAGCGGCGCCTCAGGAGAGCAAGCTGGCCTTCGTCGTGAGGATTGTGGAGTGAGAGCCTTCCCTTATTGCTGCCCTTTGTTGTGTCATTTCCACACCAAGGCAGTGGGATCAGCCCAGACATCACCTTGCAGGTGATGTAAGGCCTTTAGAGAAAGTGGTTACTCATGAGTTGTGTTTTGCTCAGCATTAAGGGGGTGACCAAGAGGGTGAGAAGAGTGATTGAGCTGCTGCGGCTGAAGAAGAATTACACCGGCGTGTTTGTGAAGCTGAGCCCGCTGTCGCTGAAGATGCTGCGGATCGTGGAGCCTTACGTGGCGTGGGGGTACGTGCCCCTCCCCTGACCTGGGGGTCATTGGGTTCTCCAGTTGCTATCACAGATTCTTTACTTCTCTAGTAATGGTCACAACTTAATCAGCTTTATGTCTAAAACTTGTTATTGTCTCTGTTCTCATTGTTCTTGACATGACTTTGTTACTTTACCACCTCTGCACAAAGAAGTGGGGTGGCTTCCCTCTGCATCCTGTGTGTCTGTTACAGAATCTGATTTTTGTTCCTGTACAGACAGCCTAACCTGAAATCTGTGCGAGAGCTCATCCTGAAACGTGGCCAAGCCAAGATCAAGAAAAAGAGGGTACCTCTGACAGACAACATGATGATAGAGGAACATTTAGGTGAGGAAGAGGGTGAGAAAACTGAGGGGAAAGAGTTAGGTGTTGAGAGTTTACAGTCTGACCTGAAAGGGTGAGACAAAATCTTGCCAAACTGGAGGTCTGGCAATTCTGGAGTTAGTGTGGGGAAAGATGATACAGCTGGACATCTCTTTTTTTATTTCTCATGCAGGGGGCTGTGGTATCATTTGCTTGGAAGATCTTATTCATGAAATCTACTCCACTGGGAAGTATTTCAGGAGAGTGACCAGCTTTCTGTGGCCGTTCCATCTGTCGGTGGCTCGGCACGCGTCGCGGAACAGAGTGGGTTTCCTCAAGGAGATGGGCAAGCCTGGCTTCAGAGGGGATGCCATCAACCAGCTCATCCGTCAGCTCAACTAGTCAGGTGAGCAGTGCCTGCTGGGCTGCTTCTGAGGCTCACCCTGCATTCCCTGTCCTAAGGACAACCAGCTGCCTTTGAAGATCAAGGGGGTGCTCCCTTGCTTCTGATGGTCACTCTGCAAAAGTGACCTCAGAGTAGAGGCAACTAATCAAGTGTGGGTCCCATTAGGAATCAGCACATGCTGGTGGACACCTCCATGAAGGCTTGGTTCCTGGGAGATAATATTACTTTCTTGTTTATTTTCTTCCCTGTTCTGCAGGGTTTTTGTGAAAACTTCAGGATCTATGACCTGTTCCTTTTCACATGATCCTTTCATGGACATTATCTACGTGGAGTGATCTGTATGCAACTTCTCTTGACTGGTGCCTCTATAAAAGAAGAAACACAGAGATGATGATGATGGAGATGGGCTTTGGGCTGGCCCCTCTTAAAGAAGAAGATAAATTCTGTTTGTTACAAGAATGAGCTTCTTGGAGCAATTTCACTTTTGCATCTCTGTAAAATAAGTGGTTTTATGCTCACTACTGCAGACTTCACTCTTTGATGTGCACCTGCTTCTGGGGGTGAAGGGGTAGTGGAGTCACAATTGTGCTGACAGGCAAAAGAAAACACCAAGGTATTCTTCTGTTATTGCAGCACAAGCCCTAGCAGTGAATAATGTCACTTTTTAAGTACCTAGATTGTATTTATTTTTAAAAAATTAAGGGGTTTGTGTTCCTGATTTTCAGAGCCCTTGTTTGGGCAAGACTTTTTTTATGTTTTTTCTCTATTAAACATCTGCTGGATTGGGACTGTTGGGGGGAATTATTTCCTGGAAATAGGAAAGCCTGAAAAGTCATGGGGTGACGTATATGTAATTGATGTTTTTAAAATAAACTTCTGAAATTATATTATTATAACAGAAGGTCCTACATCACTGTAAAAGAGTGGAAAAACCAGTCAAACGCTCTGGCTGGAATGAATTTAGTGAAGCAAGTGAAGAAAACCATGGAAGAGTCTGAAAGTTCCAGATATTTAAATCCCTAATTTCTTCCACTACAGAAATGGGTAAGGACACATGAAGAGTCCAGTGATGTTCAACAAATACAGAAGGCACTGTCATGAGTTCACTGTGACTGTTTAAACTGTTATTTGAAGACTTAGGTGGGGGCAAACTGTTAATCCATGAATGGATTTCCTGTGGACTCCACACCACTTGGAGACTCAGGAAGGAAACAGTTAAGTAACAAGAAGGATGCCTTTTGGATGTTACTTGGGTGGCAGTTATAACCTGTTCCATGATGTAGCATTCATAAAACCATCTGAAATACAAAGGACTGCAGATTCTGAATTAGAGAACACTATAAAACTAGAAGCTTTATTCTGTAAAACAAGAATAGAAACATAGAAAATGCTGGACAGACACTACAGACGTACACAAAACAACTTTGTCCCCAGAACTAGAGCCCAGTGGTCATTAAGATACAAGGTTTTGTGTCTTTAAAGCTTTCCTGATAAACAGCTGCTTCCATTGTAGAGCAGTATAAGAATTGTTTGGATGATTCATTTTTGGGTTATTTCTGGTAATAAAACAGCCCAGGCTTCTAACATGAAAACTGGCATACTAGGAGTGAGATTATTTTAGTTGCTGCAGAGAATTTAAGACTGCTAACAGAGTGTAGTTTAAAAACAATCTTAAAATACAAAGTTACAGGATCTGAACACAATTCTAGCAGCTAATCCCAGATTTAGGCAGTTTTTCTAGCAGAGGCAGTGGTTTTAACACACCATTGGATTATCTCATACAGTAAAGTACAAATTGACTATGACCTTCTTAAAATTTCTTTAGAAATGATGCCAGCTTAGTTTAGTGTCACATTTTCACAGACAGGCATGTTGTCTTTGTGTCGTGTTTTATCAGGAGGACAGCAATGATGTGCTCATAGCTTAGCTGCTGCATGATGAACAGGAACTATACAAGGTGACAGGACAAAACTTGCCCCCTGCATCTTAGGGAACAGAATCCTTCTTGTAAGCCACCGTGGTGTTGACTTTGTGGATTGTGGTGGTGAAGGAGCGCAGCCGAACCTCCTCTGAATTGGCTATGAACTGTGGGCCTGACTCTTCCCACTTGGCTGGCACTGCCAGATCTTTATCCGTGTAGATCAGCAAGTCAAAGGCACCTGGGGGCAAGGGAGAACAAATTCACCATAAGGAGATGGCAGGTTTGTACATCTTCTTGTACATTGGCAGGAAGTACATCTTCTAGAACTTGAGACAAGGACCAAGCTTTTCAGAAGTTACACTGATACTAGTTATGTGAAAAAAAACAATCCTTAAAATAAGATATTCATATGAGGCCATTATAGTTTTCTCAAAAACTAAATTGTGTTGTAAATTTTTTTAAAATGTGTTAAAATGCTGTGGAAATGAGCGCTGTATAACACTTCATAGGAACAAATTATTCATGAAAACTTGTATTCCTCAGGGCGTACATATTTAATTTCCTCAAGTTCATTAAGCCACCCAGAGTTCTGTCCCGATCTCAGTCTAACAACATACTGTCTCACAAACCTGATGGTACACGATGTGTAATAGTCAAAGAGCCTCAGAAAACCAGAAAATATTTTCTAAAGCTGGAAAGTTACTGAGGTTTTTCAAAAGCATTTTATTTCTTTAGTGCAGTTTGGGATACTCACAGGCAGATTCCAAGAGTGGCAGGAAGGTTACTGTGGCAGTTATTTGTCTGATGACAGAGCGAATTTCATCCTGAATTGCCTTCTGAGATTTCTCCCGTGGTCCACTGGAAAAATAAGAAAACTCTGGTAAGAGAAGTTTGAAACTTCTACTGTGCTGACAGTTTCCTCTAAATACAGTTCTCTTTGTTAAGCTCTGGTAGTTTGCTACAGTATTTTTAGAGTAGTAGTGACACTTTAGAAAAAGTTAAGTGATAGCTGCTTTGCCTTTATTGTTGTTTGTGTGTTCAGTTATATAATGACTGGTTTGCAGAGGGTAGAGCACTGAGAAAAGTTTGAAGGCACAAATCCATGGCATTGATCCTGTGCCTGCCCCGGTACTCACTTGTCATCCTTTGCAGTTTTGTCACACTCGATGTCAAACTGCCACCGCTCCAGGACCTCGCTGCTGTCGATGCTGGAGATGACCACCACCAGGCGCTGCACGATGCACTTGTACAGCCACTCTGCAAGAAGCCAGGGCAGCGCTTAGGGGGCGAGAAGCGGCGGCGGGGACACCGCAGGGAGGGCCCGGCCGCCGGCCCGCACCTTTCATCTGCTCGGTCACGTTGTTGAGGTAGTTGGCCAGCTCGGGGTCCGTGGTGACCAGCAGGGTGAGCCCGTACTTCTGCACGCGGGTGAAGGTCTCGGGGGGGTAGATGCCCCGCTGGTACAGGATGCTGTTGATTCCATAGGCTGCACGATTTAGACGGAGAGGGAAAGGGATGTGTACCGCACCCACCCCAGGCCCCAGCCGGCGGCCATGTCGCTCCGCAAGACGCGGAGCCTCCCACCCCCTCACCTCCCCTCCCACCCTCCTTCTCTCCCTCCCTCTCTCGCAGCGTGGTCCCCGCGGCCCCCTCACAGAAGAACTCGGCGACGAGCTCGGCGCTGCCGCGCAGGGTGATGCCCTGGTGCTCCCGGCCGAGCTGCTGCTGCGCCGCCATGGCCGCCGCTTCCCCGCCGCCCGGTTCGAATCCGGCCCCGCCCCCGCCCGGCCCCGCCCCTTCCCGCGCGCGCAGCGCCGCTGAGGGGGGCGCGCGCCGCCTCAGGCGACACCAGCGGCCTTCCCTCCGGGAATCGCCGTTCTCTGGGCCCCTTGCCCGTGAAAAACGGGCGGCAGCCTGCGGGCTTCCGTGGCTGCCTGGCGGGAAAGAAGGAGTTTTTCCGCCATGTTAAACTGCCCGGCCGCTGCCGGTGCCGTTGCGTGTGTGGGCGGGGCTGAGGGGAGCGCGGAGCGGGGGCGGAGCGAGTGAGCTGCTCTGCCATGGCAATGCTGCGCGAAGCTGCGTTTCAGCGTTTCCAAGATTATTCGACTTTACGAGCCTAAAAATGGTACTTTCCAGTTATGAATTGAACAAATCCCTAATTTATTATTTATTGGTGGCTTTCATGGTGTAAGTCATGCAGTTGCTGTTTCAAATAAAAAATACTTTTCTGCAAGCACTCTGAAGAAGCAGGTGGGGTGAACGTGGGAAAGTAGGATAAACAATTTTTCTTTCAATCCATAATAATTCCAGAAATAATTTTTAAAAAAGGGTTAAGAAGCATTTGGGTTATTGGTCTGCCTGGTGGAGGGAATTTGCTACTTGGTCGAACAACTTCAGTCCTGTTACTACAGGGTGACCAGGGAAGATGTGGCAGCCAGCAGTGGCCATCACCTGGAGGGAGCTGTGGCAGAGGCTAGCAGGTAAGAGAGGCTGAGCAAACCAAGGAAATGTTGAACTATGTTAATAATAGGAAGTGGAGAAGTTATGATCTGTTGGGATAGTAACAAGGTGGCCAGCTAATTAGGTTATAAAATCAGTTATAGGCAAGAAAATGAAAATTAATGGCTTTGCTGGGCACAGCATAGCTGCAAATGAAATTATTCCCTAAATGTGATTTTTCCAAAGCATCATCTGAGGCATACTTGTGCTAGATACCCATATTGCCCTTGAAAGAAACAAAATGAACAGTCTTAAAATGAAGTTGCATTCAAACCAGAAGTATTTACACTGAGGATAAAAACCACATGGTCATTACACAGTACAGTGGGCCAAATGCTAAGAGAGTGAATTGATGGTGTGATTGCTTATTTTATTGTAATAAAACACATTTTCACAAGAGCTTAGGCTTTCTCTTGGTTCCAGTTTGGATCCAAGAGGAAGCATGGTTTTCCTCAGGGGTTAGGCTGCTGTGATTAAAACAAATGGTGTAGTCCTGAAGTTATGTGCTGAAGTTCTGCAAGGGTCGGAATAATTTAATTTAACCACGGGAAATTTATTTTGGATCTTGTTCACTAGTGATTGTGTTATACATAATTCTTCTGAATAAAATATTTTCTGAGTAAGAATGGTATATTTCCAAGGTTGTAATAGTGGAAGCATTTTTACAACCTTGGAAATATACTAAAAGCTTAACTTTTAGAACTTGGATTGCTGTGAATATCAGCTATTTTGCTTGAAATCCTGTGTACTACGGTGCTTTTATTTATCTATCCCAAAATGGTTACAGCCCTCTGGGTTTTTTTCCTACACTTAGCTTCTTGTCCATTTTGCTTTTGGAGAGCTGCTCATTCTTGTGATAAATAGAATAACTTGAAAGCATGAGACCAGGCGACTCTTCAGTTACTGTTCAGTTTCTCCATTACAGCTTGATGTTGTGACATGGTTTTTTTGATTCTCCTTCTGTGAAAGGAAATGTTCTGTGTTTAGCTTGGCTTTTCTGCAGCATTCAGTGATTGTTTCCCCATGGCAATTGTCACTGAACCATGGGGAATCCAAATCATTGTTAGGCCTTCATTTTTTTTTTTAATGCAAGCCAGGTCACATTCCCATAGTCATCCAGCACATTAGGAGACATAATCCATTGTGGAGTTCATTCCCATTATTTATTTATCTTGTAACCTTCAGGAGGATGTGCACAGGTCTGTTCTCTCCAGAATAGCAAAACAGCTTAGGAAATGAAAGTTTCAACAATCTTTGTAGCACCAAAGTTTGCAGGGTAAGTACAGGTGCCTCTTGTTAGCTGTGAAAATAAAATATTTTCAAGTTGGCCAATCCTATTTTTAAAACATAAAACATGGAATATTATTACAAATATCAATGCTGTGCCCTTCACCAAAGGGGTGAAAGATTGTCTTGAACTTTAAGTATTCATGAGAAGAAATGGATATTAAAATGAGTCAGTACGAGCCAATAATCTGCACTGTAACTTTTAATGTGATCAGTAGATTTCCAAAAGGACTTCCTTTGGTTTTGAATGCCACGTGGCAATTTTTACAGTTAATTTTCTGAATGTATTTTGAAATTAGAATAAGTCAGGTAAGCACTTCTTTCTTTTATGAAATGAGAGAGTTTTGATGTTTCTTTACTTAAGCCAATGTTAGAACTCCATTTAGCTTGAAAGTAGCTGTGTCCAGGTTGTGGCTGCCTTGTACAGTGAAATAAATTCTTGCTGATTTTGAGACTTTGGAAATCTCATTTTGTAGAACATAAAGTGGTATCTTTTTCCGGTTTTGGGGAAGGTGTTCCTTCGAAGACCTGACATTTTTCTTAAGGAAAAAGAGTTAATATTAGTGACGGTTTTACCTCTGAACGACCAGGAGATGGCAGCAGGCACACGCGATATCTGCACCCCTGCAGTTTTTGCTGGAGGTGCAATGGGTTGGTTTCACTGTTAGGTACTTGACCAGTTTTACACCTTTTTCTAGCTTTAACATCATTGTTCCAGAATCAAGGGGATGCTTAATGCTCAGTTTTCGTGTTTACCTTTGGCTGCTGTTGCATTAAAGACAAATTAACAGTGAAATTATTATCTCTAAACATCTCATGTGAGGATAGGAATCCTATTTCAGAATTGGGAAGAACAGGACTTAATTAAACTTTTTTGTGCCTTGAGAACTTCTTAGTGCTGGATGATGTCCTGTTACACTGATAACAGGTATGTGAAATCCACTGAATCCTGCTCTTTACAACTTAATCCTCTTCATTACTTAATCCCCAACCTGAAGCTTGGCAGTTTGAAAGGTGAATGTTAATCCAGTTCTGTGTAGCTCCTGTCACATCTAAAGTTTTCATATTAATAAATCAGTGAAAAACTAGGGAGTTCTCAGGTAGCTTAGATTTACTTAGGCAGTATTACTGGAAATTTAGCTTTAAATTCAAAATGAGCCTTCTTAAGTACTCTGGAACATTGATTTATCATTCATAGGTTTATCAACAGAGACTTTTGGTGCATCATCAGAAACTGAGGAGAACAGGATCCTGAAGATTGGTAGCATAATAAATATGCCTTGGTAGTACCACCAGGGAATTTTGATAGATTCTGTTGCGTGGTTGCAACATGTTAGATGGGGATTGTTGCTTTGTGATTGCATTCTAATTGTGTCACTCCTGATGTATAACCATGATGGGCTTGTTCAGTTGGTTGTGCAACAAGGAATACAGTGCAGCTTACATAATGCCTGAGACTTTTGATGACTAAGGAGGGAAATACATTGTGAAAAGCATGTCATTGGCTTTAGAAATATTAGAGGCAAAAATATTCATATTTCCTTTTTTTCCACTTGAAAATGAAGAGTCTTTATGCATTTTTTTCTACAGTTAGATCTCCAGGCAGGTTAGGTGTCCCGTTGGCAGAATGATGATCGTTACTGAGAACAGGCATAAAAATACTCAAAATCTTTCTCCAAAGTATTGGACAGAAAATGGCAAAGAATGACTTTCTAAAGATATTTATTCCTATGTGGTAGGAGGAATTCTTCAATGAAGTTAATTTATTTCAAGAAAAACATCCTTTTCCATATGTTTTGAGAAATTTACGTATACCATTAAAAAAAAAAAAAAAAAAATTAATTTATTTCAAGAAAAACATCCTTTTCCATATGTTTTGAGAAATTTACGTAT